GATGTTGAATATGTCAAACCCATTCATTTCTTATTTTGCCACATATCGTCTAAAAGTTCGTTAATAAGCTTTATCACGATACCTAGTAATGTGAGCCTGGACTCGGGGAAAAACGCTTAATAAATCTATACCAATATTATAAAGAGGAAAGGTTTCTATGTAAGTATGTTTGTAACGAATTGCCTAAAAAAGTACAGGACCGATTTTAAAAATTGTTTAACCATTTGAATGCTACATTATCACTGATTAATATAGGCTATAGTGTATTTTCAAAAAAGTTAGGGTTTCGTATGGAAACTTCGATTATATCACATATTTTTACCCGTTTTTGCAACATTTTTCATCGATGCTCCGCTGCTACTAGTGGTAGCCTGGTAATATAGTACATAGCCTATAGCCTTCCTCGATAAATGCACTATCCAATACTTATTACTAATTTTTCAAATCGGCACACAGCAGAGCAATCTTACATTCGGTACAACGGGTCCTGAACTACGCAACGATTTTTTTTACTTGGAATGGAAGGTTTATAATTATTATGAAGAAGGTCATTGTGTATAATAGAAGCCTTTGAACAAAAACTATAGTCTAAACTACAGCTCTACACCGAAGCAAAACGAGGGCGGGCCACTAGTATTGACTAAAGTAGGCTCATCAAACAAAGTATACATTTGTTTCTTAGATTTTCACGCACATCACTCATTAAATAAAACTTTACGGGTTAATGTACTAAATTTATTTATTTATTGACGCTTCGCAGCCTTTTCAGGTCTCCATCGTGAGACCATCAAATAATCAATAAATAAATTTAGTACATTAACCCGTAAAAACTAGTTTTATTTAAAGTATACATATTAATAATTAGTATATAAATAGAAAATATTTAACTTATCCTCAAAAATAATAAATGATCACCTAAAAAATACAATGGTAACCTAAAGGTTAAGTTAGGTTACCAATTAGCATTTTTTGAGGATCAATTACTATTTTTTGATTATCATTTAAATAATTATGTTCTTTATTTAAGTTAACAGTTATTGCCTTTATTAAAATTTAACACCATTACTAGGAAATAAGAAATGTCCCCACTTCGGAACAATTCAATTAGCGTGAATCGTTCAATATTTGTACTTTACATAGGTACCTACTTAGTATGAGGCAGAGAAGCTATTTCCAGGAAAAGAATTAGTAAACGGTTTTTCACAAATGATCATTATTGAAAGGATTTAATCGTTTATTATTGGAAACTTTATACCTATCATGGAACAATAATATTATTGGTTCATGGCTCTTTTGAAATAAAACACAGCTGGGCTAGGTTTGCTTGTGGCTTATCGACGACCTACCGTAATACCTACAAAACGACAACTTTTTCACTTTATTTTAAACTAAAAACTACCCGGAAATGTAGAACTTTTTACAACTCGTCCTGATTGCGACAGATGGATCACTTTTCATCAAGTGATGACCTGTCGCAAAAAAACTTTTCATCTCAAATTAAGCGCAAATTGAACAAATAATTACAATTTTAAAAAGTGAAAAACGTTCCGTTGTAAACTTTCATGTCCTAAGTGAACTATGTTTGAAAATATGCATTAACTTAGGCTAGGATTCCAGATTAGGGCTAATCAACCAGAAGAATGGGTATATTTTGCGTAGACAAAATTAGGTAGGTTTGAAGCTAGCAGATGATGATAATGGTAGGTATCATAAATGAGACGCTCCTCAACTGTATCTATAATAAAAACCTAACTAACTCTACCACTCAAATCGAATTGGCAATATTGGCATGAGTTTTTTAGTTATATGTAACAAAAAACCAGCTAAGTTACTCTGTCAATACAGTCTAGGAAGGATAGCAACCAGAAATGTTAATAAAAAAAGAGCATCACCAATATTTTTTGTTGGTACTTTACAATTCATTTCTGCGTGATAGCAAGACGCATTTCATGAATACGCTTGGCGACGCACGTCCGCTCTAATGTCGGTACAAAGTCCATAGTGTAGAGTTAAACGAATAATGAAGATCTCTGAAGTGGAACTGCGAACGTGTATAAAAATATTTCTTGTAAATAAGCGAGTATATAAGGCTTTCACGGTAACAGAATCAAAACTATGGTTACGAGTGCTTCTTTAGGAATTTAAATAAATGTTCAGCTTCATAAATAATGATATAAATACATACAGTCAGCATTAGACGGTATTATTGTTTATCTCCCTCCCTATTTCATACATAGGGAAGGCCTGTGCCCCAGCAGTGGGGACATTGATAGGCTGGTGATAATGATGATGAATGTTTATGCTAAAAGTGCATCCAAATAATAGATATAAAATGACTTTTGTTATACATAACACGCCTCTACATGATCTAACATTATTGAATAAGAATGCAACACATCACAAGACTACGAATGAAAGTAACATTGCAATATATGTATAATAATCAGATAACGGTACTATGAAAATACCGTTTTTTATGAAATAAGTTAACGGCAATTTTTCTATTTTTTAATTTTTTTTTTATTAATCAATGTAATTACCCATGCAATAAATGCATTTTTGCCAACGTAGTGGTAGCTTATTGATGCCCTTTTTGTAAAAGTCTGCTGGACGGGAGGCAACAAATTCTTCAAAGGCATTTTGAAATGCCTCTCGGTTATTGACTTTTTCCCCCTCTAAGAAGTTATCCAAATTCTGGAAAAAGTAGAAGTCTTGTAGGGGCAAGGTCTGGTGAGTACGATGGATGACGGAGAACTTCCATCCCCAGCTCTTGTTACTTGCTGAGCAGTATGGTGCTAGTGCCACCAAACAGTGACCGTCACTGTTAAGGGGTCAGCTTTCGTTTGGGGCATTGTTTAGGTGCTGAACCAGGATCTTACCAACTTGCTGAGCACTTTTGATAGTCAAATAGAATCCAGTTTTCGTCGCAATAACAATGTAATTCAATATGCCATCGTTTGTGTGCCTATTAAGCAGTGCAAGGCGCGACTCGACGCGTACTTACTTCGCGCTGGCGATCATTCAATTCGAGCATCCATTTGTCAAGCTTTTTTACCTACGCAAATGGACCAATATTGCTTTGATGCTGACATAGAAAGCTGCTGATAATTCAGCTGTAGATTGAGAATCATCAGTTTCCATAAACGCTTTGATTTCGTCATTGTCGACTAAAGTTTTCGATAGACCACGGGATTTATTTCTTAGGTCGAAATTTCAGAACGAAAGAAAATTATTGGTTTACTATAACGGGTGGTGCGATCGTTAGTAGTGTTCGCTTCGTTTACATCATTGATGTTGCGTGCCGCTTCTGCCGCTTTGCTGCCACGACGGTACTCATACTCTATAATCACTCAATTTTTAAGTGCCAAGTGCTATACATGCCGATCTGAGAGACATTGGACCAGCTCCCGCCCTTGCGTTTGCTGTCAACATCGGACACCTGGACTAAAGTGCGCCATTAAAAACTTTTCAGAATGAGAGAAACGCTATTCTTCTTGGAACAGCTTTAACCACTCACGTAAATATTTGTTACCGTACCAAACGAATAAGCCGACAGGATGGGATATTCATATGAATATTTTTAGAACGGATTCTGCTTTAGAATGAAAAAAAATGTGTTCGTTCTTATTATTCAAATAAATGTAATACTTACATTTCAATTACTTTCAGAAATTCGTGAATTATTTTTTCGGGAAGTTCTTTAACTATGCGATAACTAGTAGTACAAATTACTAGCGTTCCGTATATCAACTCCATTTTCCCGCTATTTCGTAGCAGATATATTTCTATTTCGCGTGATTTAATTATGCTTTCATTAGTACCTATGTGTATAAAAAAAATGGGTGCGTGTACTTATGTAGGCGCGTGAGAAGTTATCCTTCTTTGGCATCGTTTAAAATTAGTTTTTAATTGCATGCAAATAATTAATTACAATAAATTAATAAAAAGTCTGGAAAAGGACGCAGTCAATAAAGTTCAGTTTTAATTTGAAAAAATAAATAAATTATCAAAATATTCAATTAAAATCGCTACTGAATATAATTTAATAGAACATATGTGATTTGCACTTGTATGAAACTCAAACACGTATTCCGAATATACAAACTAGAAACATGTGGATAAATATTATAAATATGAATACCTATAACTGTTACTTTATTACAAAAAATAAAGATGTGGTTTTTGGTTCTACTACACCAATGGTCAAGAGATGGCGCTGTAGTCTCCTGAATCGCGCTTTGGTTCCGTTGTTCCAGATTAATAAATACTTTTGATATTATAAATATGAATACCTATAACTGTTACTTTATAACAAAAAATAAAGATGTGGTTTTTGGTTCTACTACACCAATGGTCAAGAGATGGCGCTGTAGTCTCCTGAATCGTGCTTTGGTTCCGTTGTTCCAGATTAATAAATACTTTTGATAGGCCTTCACAATGCAGTCGTTAGCACCCACTAAATAGAGATTCTATTTCTATTTTGTTGGTAGATTTTCTTAATGTGCGGTAAACACAAAAGTAATAGCATGAAGTTGGTCGCTAAAGCTAAAGCTAAAGCGACCAACTTCATGCTGTTAATATTTTGTGTTACAGTGATGCGCGCGCATCTTAAAATTTCACTCTCATCATTTTTTCATAACGCGCCTAAAGAAAAAAAAATCAAGATCACAAAGATTCTGCAGAAAAATGTATAGGTATCCGTAATAAGTGGGCTAAACAACGGACTATATTTCAAACAAGAATTTCATATTTTAAAAAGAAATATAATTGGAACTTAGAATTCTTAGCGAAAAAATGGACTTTATTTAAGTCCATTTTTTTATTTTTTTCGCCAGTACGGCAGAACGGCAATTTCATAGTTAACAACATCAAATCATTCATACTTGTATAACATGATATATAAACTTAACTATATTAACTTATACTGTTGTATAGTCTGGACGCACCTTAGAGATGCTATTGCTAACAGAAAAAAAATATATAAATATTTCAAAACTCACCCCCAAAAGTGCTGTAAGTCGCCAATATATGGCCCATGCTATTAGCTGGGGCGGTGAATAGAAGACCCATGGCGCATATCATGGAGCCGACGAAACACACTTTTCTATAGGAGAAGGTTTTGATGACGGGCCCCACGAAGAAACCGGAGAAGTTGACGACCGCGTCGAGGGTGCTGGCGATGACGGAAGCGCCTGTGGTGTGCACGCCCAGGTCGTCCAGCAAATCCTTGAAGAGGAGACCGAACGACGGCTCGAGGGAGCGAGTTGAAAACTGTAAACAGGGCAAATTAAATATCGTTTACCTGGCGTGTAGGAAAAGATTAGTTAATAAATAAAACACTGATTCAATAGGTTCAAAGATTCTTTTTAGGGTTCCGTAGCCAAATGGTAAAAAACGGAACCCTTATGGATTCGTCATGTCCGTCTGTCTATCCGTCCGTATGTCCCAGCCACTTTTCCGATCACTTACGATTTCCTGAAACTAGAACTTCTCAAATGACTCAAAAAAATTGGTCAACACATTTTATTTGCCCGGATCTGACTTTCGACTTAGTTTGAAGAATCAAAGAGCCTATGCTTATATGTATTATCTCTATGTATGTTTAATTATTGAATTATCTGCATATCTTTTTCAAATACATTGTTTTTTTTCAATTAATTATTTGACTCTAACATTACTAAAAAAAATTGGTCGTCACCTTTTATTTACCCACATCCAACTGTCGACTTAGTTTAAAGAATCAATGATCTTGATTTTTTGTGGTTTGTGGGGTTGCCCCGTAACTTCCAAAATAAGAGAATGATAAAACTAAAAAATATGTGATGTACATTACCATGCAAATTTCCTACCATCCAAACTTCGGTTTGAACGAGATCTAGTAAGTTGTTTTTTTAATACGTCATAAATCGTAAACCGCTATTTACCTTTCATTCAATCAACTAAAAAACGTTATGCATAAACCGTAAACCACTATATTCTAATAATAAATCCGTAATAGGTGCCTAAGTAAATAATAATTATAATTCGCGCGGGGCGTGGCTTGATTGGTAGCGGGTGCAGAGCGCGCGGGAGGGCAGGTTTAATGTAATGTTACTTGCTGCTAAGGAACCCTTCATGGGCGAGTCCGACTTGCACTTGGCCACTCAAGAACGGAGTCTGTAAAGGATCCGAAACATAGAGATATGTATGAAAGTATTAAAAACACATCTTAAACCCGTTGAAACAGTGTTGGAGTGGTGTGCGTGAAAACATAAGATATTAGTTATGTTAAAAACGGTGCATGAAATTTTGGTAAGTACATAACATCAGAAAATTTCAATACGAATGAAACGTTATCCAAAATTTAACAGCTATTATTTTTCAAATTCAGGCGTATGCAAATACACTCGTTTCAAAGTATAATTTAAAATTATAATTTGAAAAGAGCGTGAATTATTACTTATCTGCATATCGCAATACTGCTAAGTATTGCACACGCAAGCAAGGTTTTTTGTGGAGCAGGTAAGTAAATTACATTGTCATCTCAACGTATAGATCATTTGAGTTGTTGAGCAATAGTAATAATTGGTATCAAGTAAAATATTGTTAATATAGGTAGGTGTTGAGAAACTACTTGGCGATGGCAACGAGGCGTCACGTTTGGCAGGTGAGCACAACAGTGTACAAAGAATAAAACGTGTTACATAGGTACTTCCTAATACAATTGTATTATTAGTATTGTATGACTTCCTTCTTCGCTCGCTTTTGACACAAGTAATCTAATCTTAGTGGCTAACATGATGACTAGGTGAAACATAACATTATGTAAGTACATATAAAAAACAATTTTCACAATACATAAAGGACTTTACTTTGAGAAAAGTGAATGGTATTTGTACATGTGACAAAGAACCAACACTACAACATAATGAAATAGAAAAAATACATCGAAATTAATATGACACTTATATATGTCCACGTCGTAGAATGATTTGATAAATCGATTTTTCTCGAAAATCCCAAGAATTTTGCGAAAACGCGTATAATTAGACAATGGCGAGGACATTGCTCAATCTTATAGTTAAAGATTTTTTCTGTCGCTTCGCCGACCGCTGCGGCTGGCTACGCTCGCTCGGCTCGGGCGTCATGGTCGCAACACTAACCTTACTTAGTGTGAAACCAAGAACTCCAAAAATCCAAGAATATTTATAGTAAACAAACGATTCTATTAGCAATCTTACTGGGGCAACTCGCGTTTCCGCAAAAATCCTATCTTATTCCAAAAATATTGAGAAATGTCATCGCGATTGTCTAATTATCCGAGTTGTCGCAAAATCCCTAGGATTTTCGCAAAACTCGATTTATCACATCATCCTACGACATTAACACACACACATAATGGCTAAACATAATTAACTTTTTTTAACTGAATTGTTTAAATTTCACTATTCCTAAGACATTGTCAAGACAATTTGATAAACTTGTATGTAGGTACCTAGTATGGGTGTTTGTGGAATCTTGTTTTTTCCCCTATTCATCACGGAAAAATGTAATTTATTTCTGAGTGAATTTAAGTCTAATAAATAGAATGGTTACTAACATTAACTGTGGTCATTGACCGTTTCCACGACCAGAACGATGTAAGGAGACGGTGTAGCAAAAAAGAGGTGTTTCCTTCCAAATGATTCATAACCGTTTGTCACAGAATTCAGAATGTTCAAAATCAAAAAGAAAACAAACATCAAACACACCTTTGTTACTGTTCTGAACAACGATAAATTTTGTGATCTGAATTGCGTTTACATACAAAAAACCAAATCAGAAACTCAGTCGCCATGTAGTCGCAAGTTGTTTTTCTTTACGTAATAGGCCTGCTGTTAACATTCTCTGAATACCCAAAGATTTGTTAATACCTATACATTTTCAAGTCCCATAAGTTTCTTTTAGTACATACTATTTCTTTCATAGGGTTAGTTTTGAACAACCGGGAAAATCTTCGTTTAAGTTCACTTGTTTTTTTATACGAGGCGCAACAAATTACCGCTCTCCACCTGATGTTAAGTGTAAGTGGAATCCAGCCGCGAAGATAGATGATGCGGCAGGTGTGCTGTTTCCGCAATTCAATTTACCGGCCTGAAACCATTCCCCTACCCCGCGGAGCCCTACTCACCAGCAAGAACACAACACCACTAAAAGGAAGTTAGTTTAGGTACTGTGTTCTTCTGTAAGGTAGAGTTTGCTTGAAGATAGGAAATCCGCTATGCCCTACCTCTCTTAGTTGCAATAGGTCCTTAGAAATGTCTTATAAAGTGACTCACATTGACTAAACTAACACCTAAGCAGACCATCCACGCCCAGCCGCCGTCCGGTGCGACCTTCTTTGTGGCTGGCGGCATCTTGGCGAAATGCCCTTTTGTCTTCTCCGCCGTCATTATAAACTTTTGTCACCTGTGCGCCTGGAACAAAGGAAATGCTAATGTAAAAATTTTAATTTAACAACCTTATTTTTACGAACAACATAAACCTTTTGTTGTGTAATATCACAAAATAAAGAGTACAGAACGTAATGTCATGTTGTACTTCACTTTGCATAGCTAAGCTCTGCGGTCGCGCTAGTATTGTCAACTTTGGCTTATGCACAAAGAATTATCGAGGTACTGGCACTCGTACCTAGTTGTTTGATTTATTGTCGAGAATGTAACAGATGCAACGGAAATATAAACCAATAATAACTAAAATATTTCAATTTTAGTAATACTGTTATATTACAAATTAAAACAGAACAATTCAGCGTTTAATGTTGAAATTAAAGAACCGTCTTCTTTACAGATGTAATAAAAAAAAAATGTTGCTCCATTTTTCCACAATAAAGCTCACTCACACACACACACGCGTGTATCAAGGGGATGAAACTCGCGCTCTCGCAGTGGTCCCGATTGGTCCGAAATACGTCTCCGTGAGCGTGTCTATGTGTGCGTTGCTCGAGCGCACTTGTACGTAGATAACCTTCTGTACTATCTTTTTTGTGGTTATATCTATTTATAAAGTTTTAACCTTGATGGTGTTTGAATTTAAATTGAAAATAGATTGAGAAAAAACTGACTAAGTGAGAGACGGACTCGCACAAGAAGGATAGCAGCCTATCTAAGTATCTTAAATTATGTGGTGTGTGTTATACATAGATTGCTTATTAATTTTACTTTTTCAATATAGAATTTATACACAATGATGTTAGTGTAAGTATTCTTAATTTATATAATGAGGTCTGCAACTATCTATAATATGAGATTATCCTGAATATTTAACAGAAACTTAATACATATTCTTAAATTTTAAACAGCTGATTTACATTAGTACCATTGGCCCAAAGCATGATTCCATACTTTATTTAATCATTAGCATAATAGCACTCACAGCAGTTTTTACAAGCTCTATAATGTAATGGCACTGATCAAAAACAAAACACCACGTTATCTAGGTGAAACAAGAAAAAAGAATTTCATTGTTCATGCTAAAGTCGATAAACTTAATAGAAAGAATGTACCTACTTGTTTTAATAAATAAGAAATCATGTAGATAGTAGGATTTCAATTTACAATATTCAAACTTAGTCTATAAATATCTTCATTGATAGGTTATAAATAATAGTAATAACTCGATAATGCTACGGACCTAAGTTAAAAAAAAAATGGGTGCGTGTACTTATGTAGGCGCGTGAGAAGTTATCCTTCTTTGGCATCGTTTAAAATTAGTTTTTAATTGCATGCAAATAATTAATTACAATAAATTAATAAAAAGTCTGGAAAAGGACACAGTCAATAAAGTTCAGTTTTAATTTGAAAAAATAAATAAATAATCAAAATATTCAATTAAAATCGCTACTGAATATAATTTATTAGAACATATGTGATTTGCACTTGTATGAAACTCAAACACGTATTCCGAATATACAAACTAGAAACATGTGGATAAATATTATAAATATGAATACCTATAACTGTTACTTTATTACAAAAAATAAAGATGTGGTTTTTGGTTCTACTACACCAATGGTCAAGAGATGGCGCTGTAGTCTCCTGAATCGCGCTTTGGTTCCGTTGTTCCAGATTAATAAATACTTTTTGTTACTTTATTACAAAAAATAAAGATGTGGTTTTTGGTTCTACTACACCAATGGTCAAGAGATGGCGCTGTAGTCTCCTGAATCGCGCTTTGGTTCCGTTGTTCCAGATTAATAAATACTTTTGATAGGCCTTCACAATGCAGTCGTTAGCACCCACTAAATAGAGATTCTATTTCTATTTTGTTGGTAGATTTTCTTAATGTGCGGTAAACACAAAAGTAACGCATGAAGTTGGTCGCTAAAGCGACCAACTTCATTATGTTAAAATTTTGTGTTACAGTGATGCGCGCGCATCTTAAAATTTCACTCTCATAATTTTTTCATAACGCGCCTAAAGAAGTATAACTTCAAAAAATCTTTTTTCCTTCCTGCATATATTTGTCCGATTTTCTTAAACTATATTCACATTTTGCGAAAATACTTTACCAAACAGATAAAATTAAATTATATTGATTTCCAACAAGATTAAAGACATAAAACTTAGATTATCTGGTTCCGGCACATACGCCTTATTTGCACTCACGGTGGGTTCTACTATCTGACAATACAACGATTAATTCATTCGGCAGAGCGTAAATGCATATATTTATTTTATCAAAAATAACAACGACTAGACTATGATAACCCTTAGCACGGATAACATATTTTTTACAATGGCCGCAAAGGTTGAGTAGGCCGATGTATCACTTTGAAACTGAATACATACTTTCCCAAGGATAAAGACATACACAAGACCGATGTTAAAGAATGGACATGCTGTTACCGCGTGCACGCAACAATTACTGATTTGAGAGGTCTGTCAAATGGCGCCGTGATCGTGATTCGATGCGGATAAACATTTATCTTTCAACAGCTATTAAATTGTTGCTATTTAAGGAATGAATAGGGTTCAGGGTTGAGTTACCAGATGGTCGAGAATCGTTTGGATTCTCCGGAACAATTCATGGTATGTCCAGATTCCCGACAAATAACAAAATCTCGCGACAAACGAACATGACGATACACATATCGTTTGCCCTACGCCATTCAGAGTGGCAACTGACACGATGACAGGTGGTTTTATCATGGCGACCAGACTTCACTCCCCCTAAGCATTATGGTGAGGACTGAGTAGTAATCTGCTATGATTTTTGTTTCATGATGTTAAAATGTCAAAAAAAGCTGTTATTTAAAATAAAAGAATCGCATTGTTTTACTGTATGCTAATTGCCAACCTTAACGATGGCACGTGCTCATTTACGAGTATCATCTTTTAAGCTGTGTCCACATTTGTAGCATCTTGACGCATGATAATCAGGCGTATCGTACCTAGTATTTGTATCATATATATGGACGCGAATTTTGTTTATGTCGTATTAATTAGCCGTATCTTGTAAATAATGCGTCCATACATATCCAATGATAAATCCCGTCAATGTAACGGTCTTAACTGAACAGATATGGACCCTACAACTTTTCCTCCGATCCTCGTATCTTTTCCTGATATGTCTGTTTTTCAGTGCACAAAACCGACACAGTATAGTTCGCTGTTTATAACGTATCGTATCGCGATACAGTTTCGTGATACAGCATCAAAATACATCTATACTACCGATAGTGATACGCGTATCAGATACGAGGTGTATCAAAATACGAGATCAGTGTGGATCGGGCCGTATCAGATACGGCCTGTATCATTACTGGGTATCATCTTATGTCCATACTAGCGATCATGATACACACCGATGCCACGCGATGCAAATACGATACACCGAAATGCTACAAATGTGGACGAAGCTTTAGAAGAGATAATAAAGCTCATTATTTGAAAGTATCACTGACCTGACTCTTGCTCATATCATTATTGCTACAATTACAAACTTGTAACGAAAAAATAAGAATAAGAGGATATATTCGAAACTTTTTTAACATTACGTAAGGAGTCCCTTCTTCTGAATTTAACCTACTTATGAAACTAAAGTCTGTTCTAAAATCTTGCTACTTATTTGATCCGCTCTGCTAAACCATGATTCGCTTTGAAGTAGGTCATCATCGCAGTTCGTTGTTTAACCCATGATTCGGTATCTAACTTAATAATGTAACAAGTATCATGTTCAGAAGAATAGAGAAGTAAGAAATATTAAACATTTGTTAATCCATCCGATAAACAGACTTCGACTTTGCAAAATTCACACTTCGTTACTTATACAAAAAAAAAACAAAAATGCTCATAATAAACTTCACTAAGTATATTAAAGTTTGCAAACGGCTATATATTCAATTTGAGTAAAAAAAAATATAAAAGTATTTACATAAAAGCAATATTACTAACTACGTTATATTTATATTCATGAAAAGCCTCAAATAAATGAACGGACGCAACGTGGAAAGGTAAAAGGGTATCTCCACAAAGATTGGCAAAAGAGGTTATCTATCCTGAAATACTCGCTAAAATAACAACTGTTTTATGTAGGTATCCATCACGGCGGAGGCATAAGGAGAAGATTATTCAAACGGGTCATAAAAACATCTGGCGAGACATTAGGCCGATTACATAATATTAATTGCTGTGTTATTTTTGTCGCCATGTTACTTGAACTGCTGACCTTTTCCTTCGTTTCGAGCCTTGCGTTTTACAATTTTTAATTAAGTAAAAAAATATACTGACATGTTTACCAATAAAAGGGAGTAATACTTTTCACTATATTAATCAAATATTAAGGTCTTGATGCCGTATATAAAATATATTTTAATATTATTTAAAATATTGTAAGAAATTTCACAAATGAATGGAATACAAATAGAAATTATTTGATAATGGTACGTTGTGGACTAAAAGATGATGTGACAACAGACTGTTTCGAGGGTTTCGTGAGGGCTTAGGGTCTTTGAGTGAACGGATGCATGTAGACTGACGTAGATTTTTGTAGGCACGGGTTTTAGGTGGGTAGGTGGGGGGAGCGTGTACAGATTTTCTAAAATGTAAAATACCAGTCACATAATAATACTCGAGCGCGTCAGATATTCCTTCGTACGAAGGAGTAGAAAATAGGAATAAAAAAAAGTTATTCGAGGGTGTCAGCCGTTGATAAGGGATGTTACGCGAACTCTCCAGTAGCTCCCATTGAAACGACTGACGATTTGGTTGGATGCGACCATAAGTAATGGCCGCTCTCCGAAATTGCAAAAAACATCCGAGACTTTGAAATACTCGCGTGCGTCAGACTATTATACAGTATCTTCATCTTGATGCCCTTAACTTACTGAAGGAATTTATATAATCTGTAGGTTTGCAAAAAACATCCAATTCATATATTTTATTTAAATTATTAAATGTTATAAATACAATATTAAAGATGTATGAATAGAGGTAAAATAATATCCTGTATTTAATTAAAAAATATACCTATAACGACATGTTTTTAATGAATATTTTCAATCTTCATCATCAGTGGAATCATCTTCATAATCGAACTCCGGTTTGACTTGGTCGTCGTTTTGAGTATCTGCAACAACAGTGGTTATGATACTTATTTTTTTTTATATATATTTCATGCTATTTATTGGAGTTTTGAAAAAAAACATACCTGAAGCTCGAGAATCCTCTAGAATATCAGGTGTAATGACGACAAAGAGCAAATTAGTGATCTTCTATTCTAACACTCGTCTTTTCCCTCTCACACCTGTACCAATAAGACTGTTGCATTAGATGTTAAAAATGAAATAAAAATGTGATGACTGAAATATCATAATAGACGTTTCGAAAACATTGAGCAACAATTTCAAACCAAATTACTTTTGCTTTTCCAACACCGCAAGAGACTATGTAGATTATTTTATTTACATAGACGAATATAGCCCTAGTTTATTTCAAAGAAGTAAACGGGTGCTGTATATTGTTATTCCAATAATTATTATTGTCCTAACCTACCCTATTACCACGGAACAATCCTTTATTGGGAAGGACTGATTGGAACTATCACCGCGACACGCGAAATGCAGTGCCTGTTTTTAGTTTAGTTTAGTTTAGTTTTTCAGGGCGGTTTCCGCACTTAGTCCTAATTATTGGACCATTGTGCGTATCTCATAAACATTCCCGCTTACTCCAGCCAGCCTATATCGGTCCAGAAGGAAAGCAGCCTTGATAGACTGCTGCAAGCTTCCGGAAACGATTCTGGTGACTGGAGAAGTCGTGCCCGTTGGTCGGCCACACTCCTGCATTCCATGATGACATGCTGTGGCGTTTCTTCTGCCTCCATGCATCCTCTGCATAGGGGGCTGTCTGTAACCCCCATTGTATATAGGTGTTTGTTCAGGGGACAATGACCAGTCAGGGATCCTATAATCCTGCGAAGTTTGTCCCTATTTAGTCTGGTAAGGGTGCGGGCAAAACTTTTATTTACCGCCGGAACCGCGTTTTTCGTTTGCCGGCATCCTTCACCTGTTTTCCACTCCATCAAGTGTGATTTATGAGTTATTTCACGCAGCCACGTTTTAATTTGGGCCTGAGGTATGGGCAGCAAAGGCTCCGGACCGTACATCTTTGTGTCTGCTCCCCTCTTAGCCAGTTCGTCTGCTGCGTCGTTTCCAATTGAGCTGCTGTGTCCTTTTATCCATTGCAGAGTTACCGTGTTGTTAACCGCAATGGATTGAAGTGCCTTGTGGCACTCCATTACTAGGACAGAGTTTATTGTGTTGCTACGTAGGGCTTGAAGCACGGATGCACTGTCAGAGATGATTTTGATGTTATACTCTCTGATATCTCTGGCTGCAACCGCCTGTGCCGCTCTGGTAATGCCAATACATTCCGCCTGGAAGATTGTACTTTGTTTGCCTAGGGTTGTAGATATTTTAATATTCAGGTCGTTTGAGAAGACACCGGCTCCAGTGCCACTGTTGGTTTTGGAGCCATCCGTGTATATCCTAACTTCCCCGGCGCCGGAGTAATCTGCCTTTTCCGCGGTAAGTTGGATATTGTATCTTCGATCAAAGACGTGTTGACTTAATATTCTATCCATAGGTGCCTCCAGGAGTGGGATCTCCTTCGTGCACTTTTGTAGAATATTGGAGTGTGTTGTTACAGTATTTAATCTCCATAATCCTAGAGATTTTAGTCTCAAGGCTGCTGCTTTCGCCTCTTCTTGTATGACCAGGTCCAATGGTCTTAAATTCATGAGGTACTCTAATGCAGCCGATGGAGTTGTTCTCATACATCCGGTTGCTGCTACGCTCGCCAAGCGTTGTAGACTTTGGAGTTTGGATTTCACTGTGGTCAGTTGGGTCCTGGGCCACCAAACAACTGAACCATAGGTTATAGAGGGCCTGATGACTGCTGTGTATAACCAGAGGGTGATCTTTGGACTTAGACCCCACTTTTTGCCAACTAGTCTTCTACACTGATTAAAAGCTATGCAGGCCTTCTTTGTTTTTAAATCAATATGACTCGCCCAATTCAGTTTGTTATCAAGGATTATGCCCAGATATTTCACTTGTGTTGATAGGGAGAGTTTGGTATTAAACAGTTTTGGTAACTGTAGTTCAGGTAGCTTCCTTTTGTTGGTGAAAAGGACTAGCTCTGTCTTGTTCGGGTTTACTGACAAGTGATGTTCGTCACACCATTTCTCCACAATCTGAAGGGCTGAACGCATAACCTTGCAAAGGACATTTTCAGCGTTCCCATTTATCAGAATTGTTAGGTCGTCCGCATAACCAATAGTAGTGTATCCTCTGTCATTCAGACTCCGTATGAGACTGTCCACTACTATGTTCCAGAGAAGTGGTGATAGGACTCCCCCTTGTGGGCATCCTCTGACTACCTTCGCACGCGTGGTAGCGTTCCCCACTATCTGAACCGCCCTTTTGCCAACCAGTTCGGTGATCCAACCTCTGGTGACTTGGTCCACTTTGAGTTTTCTTAGGGCGTGGTTAATGCTGTTGTGCATCGTTTTGTCAAACGCACCTTCTATGTCTATGAAGGCTGCCAGTGTTGAGATTTTATTTGTGATTGCCGACTCTATTTTGTGGACTACTGAATGCAGTGCCGACTCTGTTGATCTGCCTTTTCTGTAGGCATGTTGTTGAGGGTGCAGCGGAGCTTTACTTAGTGCTCCATCCCTAAGGTGTCGGTCTACCAGTCTTTCCAATGTTTTTAAGAGAAAAGAGGTTAGGCTTATTGGTCTGAAGGATTTGGCTTGTGTGTAGTCGTCCTTGCCTGGTTTCGGTAAGAAGACTACTTTTGCCTCTCTCCATGGTTTTGGTATGTACTTGAAGGCCAGGCAGGCCCTAAAGATAGGTTGTAGGTATCTAATTGCCTGACCTAGTTGCCATTGTAGTAGCGCCGGGAATATGCCATCTAGTCCCGCTGACTTAAATGGTTGAAAGCTTTTTAAAGCCCATTCTATCTTTTCCGCCGTTACTATTGTTTTTGCCAGGTCCCATTCCTGGGTTGTTGGTGCATTGTGGTGCTCAGTCGTCCACTCCAGGCCTGGCGCCAGTTGGCATCCTGGGAAGTGGGTTTCCAGTAGCACCGCATTGGCTTCTTCTTCTGTTTTTGTATAAGTGCCGTCTTCTCTTTTCAGAGATCCAAGGAGGTTGGAGTTGTCCTTGGACAGAACTTTCTTGAGTCTGACAGCTTGATTTGTTGAATTGACACTACTACAGAAACCGCGCCATCCTTCTCTACTCCGGAATCTGATCCGCTTCTTGTAGTGTTTTTGTGCTATTTTATATCTGTCCCAGTCCTCATTGGTTCTGGTGTTTTTCGCTCGATTGAAAAGTGTCCTGAGTTCCTTACGTAGTTTCTCAAGTTCTGGCCCCCACCAGGAACTTTTACCCAGGCCTTTCGGTACGATGGTAGGACACGTCAGTTCGTAGCTTTTAAGAAGCGCTGAAGTGAAGAACTGTACGTTTGTTTCTATGTTGTTTATATCAGGGATTTCATCGTGTATTTGCATCTCGCTTAGTGTTTTATTTATTAGTTCTACGTACCTTGCTATATCTGTTTTTCGGGGGTTGCGATATGGAACAGGGTCTATTTGTCTGTATTGTAATTGAAAACATATCCTGCGGTGGTCTGCAAAGGAGGGTTCGTTTGACACGTGCCATCCTTCGATTAGATTGGCCACCGCGTGTGTCGCTAGTGTTATATCTATGATAGTTTGGTACCTAGAGCTAACCGTGCCTGTATTCCAAAGTTGACTTTAGATAATTATGCTGTCATCTTCCCGTATCCCGTATGTGTAGTACAGGACAAGTTCACGATTCAGCGAATATTGATATAGTCCTCAGATTTGTGGTTGCTGTGTGCTAAAGATTGTAAAATAAATCAGACAAGGATCAATGATCTGGAAATACTTCTCTTTAAAGAATTGAAATAATTTAAAACATAACGGGACTGGTCAAGGCATTATACATTTAGCTCTTTAAGAATGTAATTAATCTAGGAAAGCAGAGCTCAAAACTCAGCACAGCAGAGTAATATTACAGTGTGTGTTTCCATTAACTCCTATGCACTGTCCGTAGATATAGCATTCCGATGTTTTCCGTTCACTGGGGAAAGGTACTGTTAATACTTGGTGCGGCTCGCAAACTTGATGGATTGGTGTGTGCAGTTTTTTTGTTCCTTCTGACATCAGCGCAGGTTATCGTCCGCAGCTGTTGCTATGGCAGGTTTTTTGTCGATACGAAAGAACCTTGAGAGGATATTTTGCCAACCAATTTTGTTTTACCCAATGATACCATTCTCAATTAAAGCTTATTTCTGTTTTAAAATAAGTAGAGAAAACTAACGATGATAACATTCCATATTGATTTCTATCAGATAACACATAATTATCTAGTTACCTAACTAAAGTTCTCTTGTTCTATATAATAGTATTAATAATATAAAGATTTTCTTAATTACCCATTGTAAGAATTGATCAGTTAATACTGAATACTAAGTGAATGAGTTAACGAGGCTTTAAGCTCTGTTTTTGTTGAAAATTGTAATACACCGGAGAGTTGTATTAGGCAAGTATTTTAGAAGTAAATCTGTTAAGCTTTTGTTTTTCATAATAAGAGCTATATATAAGAGTTTGTTGGATCAATTTATCATAGATTTTATTTTGACATCTATCTACCCTACCGAATACCTGACTTAGAGAAGTGCTTGAGCTCACTGCTCGTTAAAGCTAATCCGAAAAATGTTCAAAATATACATTTACCCTGAAACATTGTGAATACATGAAGGCATTTAACAGATACAGATATTTTACAGAATATTATTAAATGCCTTTAAGTATATCCAAATATGCTTATTGGTCACTCATGAAAGCTACTTAATTGTCTAATAGGAAAATTCCTTTGTATATTGCTTGCCAAACATTCACGTCATTGCATCCACGTCGTCTGGGTATCATTTCCTGACTTTGCTTCTAAGGCTATTATTGTGATGTTTAGCTCCTTTATTTATAACCGAAAAATAAGTCTGTCTCTGTTCTTTGTACTTATCACC